TCCCCCAGGCGGCGCCTCCGGCACCGCCCCTGGCGCGCTCCGCGCGCCAGGGAGGGGGTTGGCGCAGATCCAAGAAATCCACGCGGAGCGCCAACAGTTTGTGTTCATAGCGTTTTTTTCTATTTCTAAGCGTTGCCGCAGTCGCGTGCAACACGAGAAGTTTCAAGATTTACCATTATGCTGCAGGTGTGTGATCACGCATTGTGGCCGCGGCCAGCGTCGGCACGAGTGGATTCCTCACACCTAGGCCCTAGATTACACTGCGATACACTAGATTTCATTAAGATACACCACGCTGTGCTAAGCTACACTAGACTACACGAGGCTGCACACATGTACATCAAGATGCACTAGACTAAACTAAGTTAGACAAATTGGTTTTATGTGATTGCGAAGCTACTTTCATTGACAGTCAATTGCACTCAGTTGCACTCAGCCAGACTGGGCTGCACTGGGTCACACTTGTGTTATACCGAACTACACTGGGCTACCCGGAGACACACTCAGTTACATTAAGCCGAAGCCAGTTACACGAACTTGCGCAGTGGCTGTACTCGGCTACCTTCGGCTGCGCTTAGCTACCCTCGCCAACATTCAGTTACATCCAGTTGCGCTTGGTAGCGCGCAGTATTCGCGATGGATGATACTAGGTGCACGGGAACCGTCCGCCGAGATTCCTGCAACAGCCTAGCAGCTACATTAAGTTACAGCACGTGGCTGGAAGTTACACCCGGTTGCAGTCAGTTGCTCTCGGATGCGCCCATTTGCAGTCGTCTGCACTCGGGTACGCTCGGCTATGGGGAGCTGCGTTCAGATACGCCCATGCGCATTCAGTTACACTCAGTGATCAAATGCTTGCAGCTGGCGTTCGAAATCCTCGCCTGCTGCTGGCCTCCTGTGCACGCGTCGATCTCCCTCACATTCAGCTGCCTCCACCACTAAAGTGCCTGTGGCTTGTGTGGAAAAAAACAACTGCGGCGTGCCTTTTGCGTACTCGTTGCAGTCATGAACACGCAATGGACTTAGCCACCAAACTTTCAAGCACCACGTGCCTGTGGCTGGTATTCGAGTTCGGCGCTTCTTGGAGGTCAGTCGGAGGATTTTGTTTTGAGCCGCGCTCAACCTCACGCGGTCATCTTGGGGTTTAGGCGGAGGAAGAGGAGGAAGGGCGAGGAGAAGGTTGCCGGGGAGGAGGAAGGGGAGGAGGATGAGGAGGAGGAGGAGGAGAAGGAGGAGGAGGAGGAGGACGAGGAGGGGGAGGGAGAGGAGGAGGAGGAGGAGGAGGAGGAGGAGGAGGAGGAGGAGGAGGAGGCGGAGGAGGAGGAGGTGGAGGGGGAGGGGGAGCGGGAGGAAGAGGAGGATGAGGGGGGGAGGAGGAGGAAGAGGAGGATAGGCGTCAGTCTCGTCGAGAGCTGGCCAGGGTTGGAGCCAGGGCTGGTGGCTGGGACCGGGGCCGTGGCCGGAGCCAGGGCCGAGGCCGGGGAAGGGGTCCTGAGTCCCCTTGTGCTTAGGCGTGGGTGCGCTGGTTGTGGGTTGAGGTCGTGCCTGTAGGGTGCCGGACTCGCTCGCAGCACCGGCTGCGTTGCAAGCGTCTGTGGCGAGCTTGTTTGGGCTGTCCCGCTCTCGCCGCTCTGGCCGCTGCACGCGCAGCCAATTCTGGACCCAACTCGGCGCGTTCATCAAAGGCTTCCCGCGCTTGCTCACTTGCATGATGACGCCCTTATTGAACAACCGCATATGGTTGCTGGCTGTCGGCACAACGGGCGCCGCGCGCAGCAGGCCTAGGTAACCCGAGTGTTCGCACCAACGCTGCTAGTAATCATTCCCCCCTCTCTGCCGCCTGTTTTTTTTTTTTTTTTTTTTTTTCTCGGCCATCTGAGCGCGAACGCTCAGGTTATTTAGGACCCGCTGCCCGTGCCGCTTTGTGCTGGGGCAAATCTCAAGATATACAGGTTGGTTTGCAAGAGGGGCGTCATCATGCAACAGGGCAAGCGCGGGAAACCGTTGATGGACCCGCAGGTCTTGCGTCCACGAGTGGCTACACCTGCAGCGGCCAGAGCGGCGGAACAAAGACGGCCCAAACGAGCCCGCCATGGGCGCCTGCAGCGCTGCCGTTGTTGCGAGCGAGCCCAGCACCCCGCAACGAAATGTTGACCTCGGCCCCGCCCGGGGGAGAAGGGAAGATGGTAAAGGGACGGCGGAAGGTGGCCGCGGGAGAGGGGGGGAGCACGAAGAGAGAGTGGAAAGAGGGTCCCAGGGGGTAGGAACAACGAGGAGCAGAAGAGGGAGGAGGGAGCACCGGGACAAGCAGAGAAGTGGAGGAGGTGGGCGGTCATCGGGGAAAGGAGAAGGGCAGGTATAAACACAAGTTGGAGGCAGGAAGGGAGAGACGAAGCGAGGAGGGATGATGGGGCGGGAGGAGGATGAGGGGAAGGAGGGGGAGGAGAAGGAGACAGAGAGGGATTGAGGATGATGCGGAAGGAGGAGGAGGAGGAGGGAAAGGAGGAAGAGGAGGACGATGAGGAAAATGAGGGGGAGGGGGAGGAGGAGGAGGAGGATCGAGGATGGAATATCGAGGAAGCGGGGGTGAGGAGGAACATGGGCAGAAGAAGGACGAGGGGGAGAAGAATGATCGAGGATCCCGTGGGAAAATACAGAGAGGATCGAAGGTCCAGGAAGGTTGGCCGAACATAGACCCTGGGCATGGATTCAGGATCCTCGGCGTTGCGTCCTCGGAGTTCGATCGTTGGGTCTTCGGTGTTCGACCAATCCTCTGTCCTCGATGGTCGGTCGACCTTGAATGTTTTCGGCTCGTGGGGGTGGCAGTGTAGGAGACGGACGAGGAGGGGTCCGCCCCCGCCGCCGTTGGCATCTTCGTCGTCATCGTCGTCGTCGCCATGGTCGTAGTCGTGGTGGTCGTCGTCGTCGTCTTGGTCGTCGTCGTCGTCGTCGTCGTCGTGGTCGTCTTGGTCGTCGTCGTCGCCGATTTAGTCGTGGTTTTGCTCGTCGCTGTCTTCGTCGTCGCCGTCGGCTGAGGGACGGGGGGAATTGCATACAAAACGTTGGTTTTGTACGTCATTTCCTCCTACCTCGTTGTCTAGCGGCACTTTGCCGCATCGGGCCGTGCCTTCAGAGAGTCGCGTGAATACGCGGGCGCCAACGCGCATGCATCAGCGACTGTGTGGGTAACGGAGCGTCGGTGGCTGCGTCAAAATTCGAAATTACGTGAAGGGTTACGTGTACACGCACACAAACGTGGACAATCGTGTGCAGTTGCGTGTAATTGCTACTAGGTGTGACTACGTGCAACTCGGTGTAACCAGGTGTAACTAGGTGTAGCTACGTGTAAGTACGTGTAGCTACGTATACATACGCACATCTAGGTGAAACTAAGTGCAACTACGTGTAACAACGTGTAGCTACATGCAACTACGTGCAACTAAGTGCAACAAGGTGTAACTCGGTGCATGCTCGCGTAATTGTGTGTAGCTCTTGTAGCCGCGGTCGCCGTCGTTGCCCCATGTGCGACGCTACTTGCCAGCACGCTGTGACCACGTGCCACAAGAGGCGTGATTTTCAACAGCCTCCGTCAATGTTGTTGCAAGTGGTGCCGTGTTTTCCTGGTTGGTGTTGCCATTCCGTCGCTACGTTCTAGTGCATTGGGCTCTATAAGTTTCGGGGCAGCTCTGAAGCTGCGCGGGAGACCTCAAGTTGGGCAGGGCGGGGATGGGGAAGGAGAGGGCAGCCGATGAGGTGGATGAGGAAGGATAAAGTGGACAAGGAGGCGAAGGAGGAAAAGTCCGAGGAGGAGGAGGACGACGAGGAGGACGAGGAGGACAGTGGTTCGTTCGACGTCAGCCTCAGCTCTCTTCGTGCCCCAGGCCCGGTCTGGTTCGTTGCACTCGGCAGTCCTTCTGTCGCGCCGCCTGGAGGGTCCGAGTCGCAGGGGGCGACCGCGGCTGGCCCATGCGACGGTCAAGGAAGCGCAGGCACGGCTTGAGGCGCGTGGGTCAGCGACGGGCCTTCTTCCCGTGCAGGCACGGTGCGTTCCGTCGCCAGGTCAGGCGGCACTGACCTCGCGTTTCGGGGGTGACCTTCCGCCGTTGCGTGGATTTGGCGCCCACGCGCCAGATCCACGGATCCGCCATACATGTTAGCGCGTGCCTGAGACAGGGTGTCACTGATTCCAGTTGCTACTCTGAGCTTCGAGCTCATGCCCGCACGTGCACGCGCTCAGGTCGAAGTACCTCAAGTTCGGTTTCATCGCCCAGGAGCTGGAAGAGGTCTTCCCGAATCTCGTCAGGAATATTGGAAACAAAGACCAGGCGCCCAGTGCGGGCGCGCATGCCAAGACAGGGCCCTGGGAAGGCAAGGGGGCGAAGAAGGAGGAGGGGGAAGGGGGGCCACCAGGCACGGAGAGGAAGGAGGGGGAGACGAGGGCAGGGACAGGGGCGCAGGATGAGGGTGCGAAGGGGGAGGAGGCGGAGGGGAGGAGACGGAAAGACGGGGCAGGTGGGGGAGACGGCACAGGAGGCGAGGATGGGGAGGGAGGAGGTTGTGGAGGGGGGGGGAGGAGAAAGGAGAGGATGAGGGTGGTGGATGTGTGGCGGAGCGGGAGAGGATGGGAAAGGATGGCAGTCGGGAGGAGAAGGAGGAGGAGGAAGACCAGGAAGATAGGGTGGCCGTGGGGGAGGGGGAGGGGGAGTGGGGGGGACGAGAAACGGGAGATGTGGACGCGGAGGAGGAGGGGGATAATTAGAAGGATGAGTAGGGTGAGAGGGACGGTGATGATAATGATCATGATGCTGCTGATGATGATGAGGATGATGATGATGTTGATGCTGTTGATGATAAGGATGATTATGTGAATGATGTTGATGATGCTGATCATGATGACGATGATGGTGATGATGATGCTGAGGATGCGGCTGCTGTTGATGATGATGATGATATTGATGCCGATGTCAATGCTGATTATTGTGGTGATGATCATGATGATGCTGATGACGACGATGACGATGATGAAGATGAGGAGGAGGAGGAGGAGGAAAAGGATTTTGGGCGGGGATGCGGATTACGATGCTGATGACGATGAGGACGACAACAATGGCGAGAGTGACGATGGGGAGGCTATTGCAGCTGATGATTGTGTGGATGAGGACGACGACGATGCTGCTTCTAATGATGCTGATGATGATCAGGGTGATAATAACAGGTCATGCTTTTGAGAAGCAGGAGGAGGACTCTGGTGATGCTGCTGACGACGACGCCGATGATGCTGATGCTTACCATGATGCCTATGATGATGACGATTATGACGGTGCCGAGGACGACGATGCTGATGATGACGATGACGATGACATTGATGATGCTGCTGCTGATAATGATGACGATGCTGATGATGGTGAGGGTTCTGGTGATGACGAGGGTGACTTTGGCGACGATGATAATTACGATCATGATACACTTTGTTGTGGTTGATGGTGGCGATGGCGACGATGATGATGTTGATGATGATGATGCCGATGAGGACGATTATGATGATGCTGATGATGCTGATGACGAAGAGTATGATGTAGTTCACAATGGCAATATCAACGCCGACGACGATGACGATGACTATGATAATGATGATGATAAGGATGACGATGATGACGATGACGATGACGATGACGATGATGATAATGCTGCTGATGATGATGATGACGATGACTATGACGATGCCGATGGCGATGATCATGATGATGATGATGCTGATGATGATGATGATGCTGATGATGATGATGACGATGCTAATGCGGATGATGATGTTGATGATGCTGATGATGTTGATGATGAGGATGATGCGGGTAAGGAGGATGATGATGCAGGAGGAGGAGGAGGAGGAGGAGGAGGAGGAGGAGGAGGAGGAGGAGGAGTGTAGGAAGGAGGATGAAGAAGAGGAGGAAGAGGAACATGATGAGGATGAGGGACGTGAGGAGGAGGAAGAGCAGCATGAGGCGGGAGGACGACTCTTCCCCTCGCCGTCCATTCTTTCAGCATTGCCTCTCGGATTAGCCCACTTCCCCGGGTACGGCACAGGCATGGGAAGCGCCCTCTCAGGGCACCCGCCCCGTGGAGGAGGCCCTCCCCTCTTCCCGAGGCACGCGCCCTGCCTCGACGCGGAGGTCTATGGGCGCACCCTCGTCTCCCGTCGCCCTTCTCCTCCTCGTGCTTTCTCGTCCGCGTCTCCTCGCCCCGGCCCCGTGCCTCCTCGCCTTCTCCTCCGCGCCCCCTCGCCTCCTCGCCCTCCTCCTCGTTCTCTCTCGTCCGCGCCTCCTCGCCCTCGTGCCTCCCCGTGCTTCTCGCTCTGCCCCCCCCTCCCCCCCCCGGCGCCCTCGCGCTCCTCGGCCCTCCTCGCTCTCCCTTCGCCCCCCTAATCCTGTTGTGTGTGTGTGTGTGCAAAGTCAGAGCCTTACATTAGTCAGCAACCTGACCCTTTTCTTGGTATGATCAACCGAAGAACTTCCTTTCTCTCCGCTTCTGCTCCTCGGTGCGCCGCTCGCGTTCCCCTCCCGCTTTTTCCCTTCGCCTCCCTTTTCTATCCTCAGCCACTCCCTGCCCCCATTCTCGGTCATTCGGTTGGCCCCAGAGGTGCCCCTCGAGGCTTTTGTATCAGACCTCCCCTCCTCTCTTCTTCGTCGTCCCTCCCCTGCGTGACTGTCCACACCGTTGCGGCACATGCACGAACAACGCAAAACAAGTATGTTCTGTCATGTTATGCTCGGGTATGTTATGTGATATGCTGGTGTCCTCTATTTTGCCATGATGTTGATATGTTAGTTTCTGCCATGTTCTGTCATGCTTTTGCTATGTTCTGTCATGTTCTGTTGTGTCATGTTGTGTTCCGTCGTGTTTGTCGAGGCGCGAGGCGGGACACCTGGGATTCTCGGGACAATTCGGGGTCTGGCGGCCGCGGTATGCAGGGTGTAATTTGTCGTGTTTGTCGAGGGCGCGAGGCGGGATAACGGGGGCATTCGGGACAATTTGGGGTCTGGCGGCCGCGGTGTGCAGGGTGTGTTCTGTCGTGTTTGTCGAGGGCGCGAGGCTGGATAACGGGGGCACTCGGGACAATTTGGGGTCTGGCGGCCGCGGTATGTAGGGTTGGAGTGGCCGGGAGGTCTGTTCTTTAAAATCTAGCGACCCCAACTTGGCAGGTGGGGAACAGCACAAAATCACACAAACAAGAACACGCACTAGCATCACAAAAACACAACAACATACCGGACGGAACATAACAAACACACAAAAGCACAAAAACACAAAAACACGCACACGCACACAAGCATGACTAAATTATAGTTCTGATTTTGCACACACACACAAGACCTGGTCCTCGCCCTCCTCGCCCTTCTCGACCTGGTCCTCCTCCCCACCAATGCTCTGGCCTCCCTCGTCCCCCCGGCCCCCGCCCCCCTCGCCCTCGCCCTCGCGTGCGTCTCGCCCTCATCCCCCTCGCCCTCGCCCTCCCTGACCTGGTCCTCGCCCTCCTCGTCGTCCTCGCCCTCCTCGTCCTCGTCCTCGTCCTTGCCCTCCTCGTCGTCGTCGTCGTGGGCGCTCGGCGGCGCTCGCCGGCTGCCACCGCCCTCGGGCCCAGGTGGAGGACGCGAAGGCCATCGCGAGCCAGGACCTCATCGCGGTGCTCACGCTCGCCCTGCAGACGCTGCAGAAAGAGGCGCGCCCCGGCCCCTTTTTGCAGGGCTCGTTTCGATTCCTCCGATTCGATCCGACGTGATTTCGATAGTTTCCGATTCCGATTCGATTCGTCTTGGGATTCCGATTTGGATTCCGATTTCTCATTGGAGGCATACTGGCCTGCTGGTGTCCGCCGATTCGATTTTTCCCGGCTTGGCTGCCACATTCCGACGATCCAGTTCATGTCGATCGCCGATCCGGTGTATCGATTCGATTCTGGGTTCTCCTGCCTTTGTCGTGTCCGCGATAGTAATTGGCAGCAGAACCCACAGTCGCAGTATCACAATGACCAGCAGTAGCTGCAGCGAAGATCACAACAGTGGCAAAAATTATCCTGAGGACCCAACCATATGCAAACGTGAATACCGCAGGGCAGGTGGGACGAAGCAAGAGGAATTCTCTATGGGGCCACGATCCTCGTGAGGGGTGTGCCGAAATGGCCCGAGGCCGCCATGCGAACGCTGCCACTGGGGCCTTCGGTGGAGCTCCCTTCTGGGGCCACGATCCTCGGAGGGGTGTGCCGAAATGGGGCGGGGCCGCCATGCGAACGATGCCACTGGGGCCTTCGGTGGAGCTCCCTATGGGGCCACGATCCTCGTGAGGGGTGTGCCGAAATGGCCCGGGGCCGCCATGCGAACGCTGCCACTGGCGCCTTTGGTGGAGCTCCCTATGGGGCCGCGAACCGTGTGAGGGGTGTGCCGAAATGGTCCGAGGCCGCCATGCGGACGCTGCCACTGGCGCCTTCGGTGGAGCTCCCTATGGGGCTACGATCCTCGTGAGGGGTGTGCCGCAATGGGGCGCCATGCGAACGCTGCCACTGGCGCCTTCGGTGGAGCTCCCTATGGGGCCGCGAACCGTGTGAGGGTGTGCCGCAATGGGGCAGGGCCACCATGCGAACGATGCCACTGGGGCCTTCGCTGGAGCTCCTATGGGGCCACGATCCTCGTGAGGGGTGTGCCAAAATGGGGCGGGGCCACCATGCGAACGCTGCCACTGGGGCCTTCGGTGGAGCTCCCTATGGGGCCACGATCCTCGTGAGGGCTGTGCCGAAATGGGGCGAGGCCGCCATGCGAAACGGTGGAGCTCCCTGCCACTGGGGCCTTCGGTGGAGCTCCCTATGGGGCCACGATCCTCGTGAGGGGTGCGCCAAAATGGGGCGGGGCCGCCATGCGAACCTGCCACTGGGGCCTTCGGTGGAGCTCCCTATGGGGCCACGATCCTCGTGAGGGGTGCGCCAAAATGGGGCGGGGCCGCCATGCGAACGCTGCCACTGGGGCCTTCGGTGGAGCTCCCTATGGGGCCACGATCCTCGTGAGGGGTGCGCCAAAATGGGGCGGGGCCGCCATGCGAACCGCTGCCACTGGGGCCTTCGGTGGAGCTCCCTATGGGGCCACGATCCTCGTGAGGGGTGTGCCGAAATGGGGCGGGGCCGCCATGCGAACCCTGCCACTGGGGCCTTCGGTGGAGCTCCCTATGGGGCCACGATCCTCGTGAGGGGTGTGCCGAAATGGGGCGGGGCCGCCATGCGAACGCTGCCACTGGGGCCTTCGGTGGAGCTCCCTATGGGGCCACGATCCTAGTGAGGGGTGCGCCAAAATGGGGCGGGGCCGCCATGCGAACGCTGCCATTGGGGCCTTCGGTGGAGCTCCCTATGGGGCCACGATCCTCGTGAGGGGTGCGCCAAAATGGGGCGGGGCCACCATGCGAACGCTGCCACTGGGGCCTTCGGTGGAGCTCCCTATGGGGCCACGATCCTCGTGAGGGGTGTGCCGAAATGGGGCGGGGCCGTCATGCGAACGCTGCCACTGGGGCCTTCGGTGGAGCTCCGTATGGGGCCGCGATCCTCGTGAGGGGTGTGCCGCAATGGGGCGGGGCCGCCATGCGAACCCTGCCACTGGGGCCTTCGGTGGAGCTCCCTATGGGGCCACGATCCTCGTGAGGGGTGTGCCGCAATGGGGCGGGCCACCATGCAAACGCAGCCACTGGGGCCTTCGGTGGAGCTCCCTATGGGGCCACGAGACGCTGTACTGGGTGGGTGAAACGCAGGGAGGAGGGGGGAGGAGGGGGAGGAGGAGAGGATAGGAGGAGAAGGGACGCGGGGCGACGTGTTTTCAAAACGAGGACCCAACACCACAGGATGGTTGGGAACAACAAGAGCAGGGTAGCAGCAGAATCTGCAACAGCCGAGGCAACAGCACATGCAGTAACAGCAGTGCAGGCAGCAACAGTATCAGCAGTGGTCGCAGCAGTGCCACCGGCAGCAGCAGCAGCCAGCAGCAGCAACAGTGACAGCAGCAGGACCACACGAAGGTGCTTGGATCTTCCAGGGTCCCGTGCAACAGCATGGGCGGCCCGCGGCCGTGACAGGGGGGGATTCTGCGGGGTGCTGTGGGGGTCGTGGGGGTCTCGGGGTGGGAGGCGGCGGCCCCAGAGGGGGAGGAGGAGGAGGAGGAGGAGGAGGAGGAGGAGGAGGAGGAGGAGGAGGAGGAGGAGGAGGAAGGAGGAAGGAGGAAGGAGGAAGGAGGAGCTGGAGGAGGAGGAAGGAGGACATCAAGCGTGACCTCAGGTCAGAGCCCTGCGTTTCCTGTTTGGCCGAAGCGCGTCGCGGGGAAGCTTTGGGGCATGGCTGGGCCGGCAGTCCCCGGGAGCTCGGCATGATGACATGCTGGCCACATCGCCCTGTCCTTCCCCCCCCTCCTCGACAGGGCCCCGCTCTCAAGAGGCCCCGCTGGTGAGCCCCCGATGGGGACCATTTGGCATGGCCTTATACTCGCCATGATGCGGCGCGGCGCTGACGGCGAGAACGTCTGTGTCCAGCCAGGCTGCCAAATGGGCAGTGGGGCCGGCTTTCGCTGTTTCTGGGAAAGGTGGGGCTCATCTTCGGCGTCAGCGACGGGGCTTGTGTCTTAGCTCGAGCACTTGGTGGCCTTCTGACAGCTTTTGTGAATTCTGGAAGGTTTTGGGACGCATCGTGGGGCTCTGTGCAGGTCCTCTTTGGCCGTCTTGGCGCTCTCCTGGGCCATCTTGGGGCTCTCTGGGCCCTTCCAGGGGCTCTCTTGGGCCGCTTCGGGGCCCTGCCAGTCCGGGGCCGTCCTGGACCCTTTCCATCGAGGGCCTTCTTCGGGCATCGTTTGCTCGCTTCGGGGCCCTCTGGAGCGCTGACCTCGCCCCGGAGCGCCCCCACCGCTCCGGCCTGCGCCCGCGGGGATCGTAGAGCAAAGAGGCGCGCCGTGGCGGCTCTGGCGCTGACTGAACCGGCCTCGCCCTCGCCTTCCCCCCCCCCCCTCCTCCTCCTCCCTCCTCCTCCTCCTCCTCCTCCTCCCTTCTCCTCCTCCTCCTCCTCCTCCTCCTCCTCCTCCTCCTCCTCCTCCTCCTCCTCCTCCTCCCTCCTCCTCCTCCTCTTCCTCCTCCTCCTCCTCCTCCCCGTAGCCATTTGGGCTCGAGTGGGCGGGGTCAGCTTCCCCGGTTCTTTCACTCTGTACGGCACTCCGAGGCGCCCGCGCCCTCGGGACTCCGCCATGGGTCGCTCCAGCGCTCGTGGCGTCGCGGTGCGGCATGGCCACAGCGTGGCGCACTGCAGAACAGTGAAAGAGGCCGCGCGGCTGATCCAGCTGCTGGCCTCCGACAGCCCCGATGCCAGCGTCCTCGACGGGTTCGAGCAGGGCCTCAGGGGCGCTGGAGAGAAGCTGGGCCTAGGGCGCAAGGCCACTTCCGAGGAGGTGCGCCGAGCCCTGGCCAAGGCTCAGCCAGAGCTGGCGCGGCGGTGGGTGGCAATGCGAGGCGGCAGGCGCTGGGCAGCCCATCCCGACAGGGACTTGTTACAGGAGGTAATGGAGGCCCTGGACGCCCACCCTGGCACCATCGGGTCGGGGCAGGACGAGGCGAGTCAAGGCAAGCTTGAAGAGAAAGCAAACACGACGGCGCTCCTAGCCGAGAAGGTCCTCGAGCTACAGGCGGCGGACCAGCGCTACCAGAAGCTCCTGGCGGACACGTCTGAGGAGCAGCGCGCGCTGGAGCTGAAGGTCCAGATGACGGAGGACGAGGCAGCGCAGCTCTCCCACAGGTCGCACGAGCAGAGCCAGAAGATCTCGCAGCTCGAGCAGGCCCTGGCGGAGCTGCAGGAGCGCCGTGGTGCGGCGGCGGGAACCCTCTCCCCAGCGCGCAGGGCTGAGGGGCGCGCCCCGTTCGCGGAGGCCCCCGCCTTCCCGCGCCTGGCTTCGGGCAGCGGCGTGCAGACGGAGGAGCTCGAGGTCGGCGTCGGGGAGGGCCAGCAGAACACCGCAGAGCACGGGCAGAGCAACGGCGACGCTCAGGGGGCGTACGGGGACCAGAAGAGCACCATGCAGAACCAGGGCAGGCACCTGAACATAGTGAAGACGGAGGAGCGCAACGGCACCGCGATGGAGGGCGTCGGCAGCGAGTTCGACGACCAGGGCGGGACGCTGGGCGCCAACGCGGAAGAGGTGAGCACGAAGGGTGGCAAGGACGGCTCCGCGGGCAAGCACGTGCAGGGGGCCGTCGGCAACCAGCAGAGCACCGTGGGGAACCAGGGCAGTCACCTGCGCACCTACGCGACGAAGCAGAGCACCAGCGACGTGCAGGAGTACCAGGCGCGGTGGGGGGCCGCACAAACAACCCCCAGCCGGCGCACGCAGAGGCGTGCGAAGAAGCAGCAGAACCCAGAGCTGATGCAGGAGCAGCAGCAAGTAGCGGACGCAGGGACGTCCAGATTCACACGTGTGGCAGTTTTCATCCTCGTGCTGGCCCGCGGCCTAGTCGCCCTCGCTGCGATTGAGACTCGAGGATGGCACGTGTTTTCCGCTCCAGGGAGGTCGGCCCCTGACTGCCACTTCCACGACGGATTCGCGTGCTTGGCCGAAATCTCCGTCGACGAGGACGGCAGCGCGCATGGCTTGGGCCCAGAAGGCGAAGAATATGATTTCGACGATAGCTACGTCGTCGGCGACGAGATGGTGTGGCTCCTGCAGTGCACCAAGGGATCGCCGCCTTGCTACACGTACTCCGAGCTCTGCCTGGCAGCCAGCGAGGAGGAGCACGAGCCCTGGCAGCAGCCCTAAGACTGCCAGCGGAGGCTGATCCTCGCCTGCCGACAGAGAGAGGGCGCGCACTGAGGCCGCAGGCCCACCCAGCCACGGGCGCGCGTTCAGCGTGCGCGGCCTGGGTGCCGAGACCTGGGGCACTCTTGCGCACGCCTGAGCACGCGGGTTTAAAAACTCCTCCTCCTCCTCCTCCTCCTCCTCCTCCTCCTCCTCCTCCTCTTCCTCCTCCTCCTCCTCCTCCTCCTCCTCCTCCTCCTCCTCCTCCTCCTCCTCCTCCCCCCCTCCTCCTCCTCCTCCTCCTCCTCCTCCTCCTTCTCCTCCTCCTCCTCCTCCTCCTCCTCCTCCTCCTCCTCCTCCTCCTCCTCCTCCTCCTCCTCCTCCTCCTCCTCCTCCTCCTCCCTCCTCCTCTCCTCCTCCTCCTCCCTCCTCCTCCTCCTCCTCCTCCTCCTCCTCCTCCTCCTCCTCCTCCTCCTCCTCCTCCTCCTCCTCCTCCTCCCTCCTTCCTCCTCCTCCTCCTCCTCCCTCCTCCTCCTCCTCCTCCTCCTCACCTCCTCCTCCTCCTCCCTCCTCCTCCTCCTCCTCTCCTCCTCCCTTCCTCCTCCTCTTTCACATCCTCCTCCGCCTCCGCCGCCTCCTCCTCCTCCTACCTCCTCCTCCTCCTCCTCCTCCTCCTCCTCTCGGGGAACTGTAAGACTCGAGTAAGCCTGAACTCGGGTTTACCGACGTTTTTCGACGAACGCGTCCTGGATTTTGACGGTCTGGTTTCGGGGGGACGTTTGCAGCGGTAGCTCGCGTCAAATTTCATATTGGGTCTCGTCATTTTCATGATGGCCCCATCAGGCCAATTCGAGTCTCCCGTACCACAGTCTTACGTCTCCCCGATCCTCCTACTCGCCTTCGACGTTCTCGTCGTCGCCCTCGTCGTCGCCCCCGTCGTCGGCGTCGCCGCCCTCGCTGGCGCTCGCGAGCCCTGACCCCTCGCCGCTGCCTCCATTGGGGAGCCATTCTGGCAGCAGCAGAACAAGGAGTTCCTCCTCCTCCTCCTCCGTCTCCTCCTCCGTCCCCTCCTCCTTTTTTGCTCCTTCTTTGGCCAGGTGGAGCAGCAGAACAAGGAGCTGGCCAAGGCGCACGCGAGGCTGGACGAGCTTGAGCGGGCCGTCTTCAGCTCGAAGAGGAGCTCCACGGAGGTCGCGCCACGCCCAGACCCCCTCGGGTCAGGAACGAACAAAAGCCGACATCTTCGGCCTCCGGGGGCCCTCGCCTGGCCCCGGGGCCGTCAAAAGAGGCGACTTGCGATGAACAACCAGCCTTCAGTCGGGCATATCCGTTTTCAGGAGGAATATCTGCAAAGAGTATAATAATAGTTCGGGATGATGTTTCCGTTATTGTACATGATTGTTTTTTAGTTTTTTTCCCCACATCCAAAGTGGGGTTCTTGTTTTCTCTGGACACCCCGCGCAGGAACAGGAACACCCACACACACACACCCACTCACACTCACTCACACTCTCTCATCATCAACCTCATCAGCATCATCGATGATGCTCTCTCACATGCTTAGTCACTCACACCCATCATCATCACTCACTCACACTCTCTCATCATCAACCTCATCAGCATCATCGATGATGCTCTCTCACATGCTTAGTCACTCACATACTCATCATCATCATCACTCGCACTCTCTCACACGCTCACGCATCATCATCATCATCATCATCATCGGCATCGGCATCATCCTCATTCAAACATCATCATCGCCACCACCACTCACAATCAATCATCATCCTCTTCACCACTCATCTTCACCACCACTCATCATCCTCATCCTCATCATCGTTGAGTAAATTGTTAGGAAGTCTCAGGCGGGAGCCCCCTCCCTATGGGGCCCGCAGATCATGTTGGTAATCCGAGCGGGTCATCGGAACCCTGTAACTGTCGTCACTTTTGGGCTCCCCAGGCCTGAAAATGGAGGAAGTCTCAGGCGGGAGCCTCGTCTGTGAGTGAATTGGGAGGAAGTCTCAGGCGGGAGCTCCCTCCCTATGGGGCCCGCAGATCATGTTGGTAATCCGAGCGGGTCATCGGAACCCTGTAACTGTCGTCACTTTTGGGCTCCTCAAGCCTGAATTTGGAGGAAGTCTCAGGCGGGAGCCTCGTCTCTGAGTGAATTGTGAGGAATCTCAGGCGGGAGCCCCCTCCCGATGGGGCCCGCAGATCATGTTGGTAATCCGAGCGGGTCATCGGAAACCTGTAACTGTCGTCACTTTTGGGCTCGTCAAGCCTGAATTTGGAGGAAGTCTCAGGCGGGAGCCTCGTCTCTGAGTGAATTGTGAGGAAGTCTCAGGCGGGAGCCCCCTCCCTATGGGGCCCGCAGATCATGTTGGTAATCCGAGCGGGTCATCGGAACCCTGTAGCTGTCGTCACTTTGGGCTCCTCAAGCCTGAATATGGAGGAAGTCTCAGGCGGGAGCCTCGTCTGTGAGTGAACTGCGAGGAAGTCTCAGGCGGGAGCCCCCTCCCTATGGGGCCCGCAGATCATGTTGGTAATCCGAGCGGGTCATCCAAAACCTGTAACTGTCGTCAATTTTGGGTTCTCGCGCTGCCAGAACGCAGCTCCCAGGCCACATTTTGGACGCAACAAGGAAGTTTTTGGGTTCCTCAGGTCGCCGAGGTGCTGCGACAGGGCGCCGAAGGCGCCGACGACGACGGCCAGGCCGAGGCGCGGGCGCGGAGCTTGCTGATGTTCAGGCCCAGCGAAAGGGAGTTCACATGGCAGAGCTCGGGGGCGCACAGCGTGCGCCGCTCGGGGTTCACCCTGACGCACGCGTCCTACCTGACCTCCACGCTGTCGCAGGGCCAGACGCTGCGCAAGGGCGTCACCATCGACTGCGCGAGAGACGAGGACGCTGGCCGCACGGGCATGTCGGACGAGCAGTGGTGGCTGCACCTCTACGTCATGTTCTCCCGCGCCACGTGCATGCGGAACATGCTGATCCTGCGGCCGCCGCCGCGAGAGTTCCTGGAGTGCGGGCCGCCGGCGTCCCTGCGGAAGGCGCTCCTGGAGTTCGACAAGAGAGCGGTTTTGTCCAGGGCGGAGGCGAAGCAGCTCGCGGCAGAGCTGGGCTTCGTGCTGCCTTCCGCCTGAGCGCGGCTGCGCCTCGCTCGAAGCCCGCGGGGTTGTCCCAACGGCTTGGTCTTGCGCGCCAACGGCTCGCGGGGTTGTCCCGACAGCCTGGCCCGCGGGGTTGTCCCAACGGCTGCGCGACGTGACCAGTAGAGAACGCGCCTGTGCTGGCCGTGGCGGCGACGGCGCCGAGGAACATCGACATGCGCGCTCATGCAACAGGAAGGGGAGGAGGTGGCGGGGCGCGGAACAAACAGGGGGGCGAGGATGGGGACAACGTAAGGAGTGGAAGGGGGGCCCGCGCCAAGGCGAGAGGAAATATACGCAGAAGAGACAGCCAGGACGCCTCACCAACCACGAGGACGACGGTGATGGTTTTTTCCAGATTCGCCCAGAGGATTCTTATGTGGGGTTCTTCCGTCGGAGTAATCTTGTTTTAATTATTTTCCATTCTTCTTCCAAAGCCCGCTGGTAGAAGAGGACATGCCTGACCCCAAACCAGCCCTGGGGAAATGGTCGGGACGTCCGGGGACCGCGCATGGAAAAACTCGGGACATCGCATGTCTAGGGAGGGATCCCGGTGCGCCGAGGGGCGGGCCAGCTTGCCTCGCTGTTATTTTCCTTCCCTCTCTATCTCTGCCTCTCCACGACGTCCCCGTGTCCACCCCCGTGCCGCTGTTCGTCCTCCGTCCCGTGCCTCTCCTCATCTCCCTCCCCCTCCCAGACTTTCCCCCCTCTCACCTCCCTGCTCTTCTTCCTCCACCTCCGCGTCCCCCGCCTCCTCCCCCCCCCCCTCCACCATCCTCTCACCCCCGCCCCAGTCCTCGCCTTCCCTCCCCCATTCCTGCTCCCCCCCTTGCTCTCATTTCTTCTTTCCTTCTCCCCTCCCTCTCCCCCACCCCTCTCTCGCTCCCTTCCGCCGGGCGGCAGGGTGCAGGGACCGCGCGCGCCTCCGAAGGGGGCCCTGCGCGGGTGGATCCACCAGGGGGCCTGGCCTCTGCGAGCCCTCCGCGAGGGGGCCACCCGGGAGGATGGCCCGGGCCGCCCGGATGGGGCCGGAGTGCAGCGGAGGCCCATGCCAGGGAGCACCCCTGCTTGCCTCCAGGGCGCCACGTGCTCCGCAGGAGGCGCGGCGGGGGGCGGCTGGGCGGCGGCAGGCACGGGGTGCCGCGGAGCGGCGGGCAGGCAGGCAGGCCGGCGCGCCCGCGTGCGGCCTGCTGCCTGGCCCTGGGCGGCCCCTCTCGCCCCAGCGGGTGTCGGAGGCGTCGGTGCCGACGCGTCCCCTTTCCTGCGTCCCCGTCTGCACCCCGCCGTCGGCCTCTGCCGCCCCCCCGCCGTCCCCGCCCCTCTGCCCCCCCCTCTGCCCCCTCCCCCCCTGCTTCCTCCTTCCGCCGGGGGCTGCCGAGGAGGTGCAGGGGTGCTCCTGGCCCGGGGTGCCCCCGGCTCCCTCGTGCCAGGCCTGGGCCGCGGGGGCCCTCTGGGCCTCGCGAGAGGGTGGCCTCGCGAGAGGATGAACCCGAGTCGAGTCTCTCTCGGCACTCTGCCCCCCGCCTCCCTTGTCGGCGTTGGCGACGGAGCGCGGCACAGCGCCGCTACGCCGCAGCCCCCCCCCCCGGGCAGGTCCACGTCTGACCGCGAGTCTGAGCGCCGCCGCCGCCAGCTCGAGGAGTCTAACTCTCAGGCGAGTGAGATAGAGGAGTAGCGAGGACGCGGGGCCATTTGGCGGGCTGGCGGCCAGGCTCGGGGATCTCTCGAGAGGAGGACGGGGGAAGGCATGGGGAATAATCGGTCAGATGGTATATGATCGAAGACGCCTACGGCGAATCACCGCCGCCCGCTGCCTTTTGGGGAAGCGCCTATGTGGCCGAGGGTTAGGCTAGAGCTTGGCCAAGCTGTCGGACCACGAGTTCCCCGAGTCGGTTTGGAAAGCTTTCGGGGAACACGTGGGGGAGAATGAACATGAAGAGGAAGAGGAAGAGTAGGAGGATGAGGCTTCTTGGGGGTCTCTTGGGGTACCTTTGGGGCCTGCTGTGAGCTTCTTGGGGGCCTTCTCGAGGCCTCTTTGTGGCCTCCTTTGGTCTGCTGGAGACCTCTTGGGGCCTCCTGGGTGCTTCTTGGGTGCCTCTTGGAGGTCTCTTGGAGACCTTCTTGGGCCTCTCGGGGGCGGCCGTTGTGCAATGTTCCTTTGTTTTGGGCGCTCCGGACTCGTCTGACGTCGTCGGAAGCCGTCTTGGGGGCCTCCCTAGGCCGGCGTGGGGCCTTCTTGCCGCGCTTCAGGACCGTCTTGGAGGCCATCTTGAGCGCCTTGGAGGTCTCCTGGGCCGTCTTTGGGCCCCCTTGGGGCCGTATTGGGGACCTCTTGAGCCGTCAGGGAGCCATCTTGCAGGCCTCTCGGACGCTCTTGGGGACATCTTGGCAGCCTCTCGGGCTGTCTTGGGCCGTCGGAAAGCCGAAAATGAGCAAACGCCAGAATCCGTCAAAAACCCCATGAACATCAATGATCTGTACCTATTCGGGGCTTCCTGGAGGTCCCTCTTGGAGGTCTCTTCGGCCGTCTTGGGTGCCTCTTGGGCCGTATTGGGCCATCTTGAGGCCATCTTTGGCCATCTTCGGGGCATCTTGGGCCGTATTGGAAACATCTTGGGGCCATCTTGGGCTCTCTTGGGGCCATCTTCTCCGTCTTGGGCAAACTTGGAGACCATCTTGGGTCATCTTGGCCGTCTTGGAGGCGGCGTTGTGCAGATTTCTGGTCGTCTTGGACCCGAAGGCGGACGCGCCGAAGTCCCAGGGGGAGTTCGTTTGGAAAAAGAACCAAAACCAAAACCGAAAGGGTTCAGCACGCCGGGCACCCCTGTGATGAATCAACAGGGGGCGGCGGATCGAATGGCCTGCGGCCCATCCCGCCACCGCATCTTGGACCTCTCGGCGCGGAAGGCGGGAATTGTGGGGTTCGTGTTCCTTATTGGGGGCCCATGTTGTTGGTGGCTTGGGGCCTTCTGGGGCCGTCTTGGGTGCCTCTTGGGCCGTCTTGTGGCGCTCGTATTCCGTCTGAGGTCGTCCTGGGCTGGTCTTGGTGGCCTCTTCAGCTGTCTTGGAGCGTCAGAAGGCAGAAAAAGGCGAGAACGCCAACATCCGTTAAACGATAACGCGAAGTCAATGTTTATTGCATCTTGGAGACCTCTTGGGAGGTCTCTTGGAGGCCTCTTGGGCCGTCTTGGAGGCCTCTTGGGCCATGTTGAGGCCATGTTTGAGCATCTTGCGCAGATCGTTCGGCGACTCGGGGTCCTCTTGGACAGCCTTCGGGGCCTCTTGGTGCCCTCTTCGCACGTCTTGGTGCCTTGGTGCCCTCTTGCCTCCGAGAAAGTCACGCGAGATGCCGCGAGAAGCCCCAGGGGGCACTGAGGGAGCCCGAAGAGATTTGGCAATTCAGTGTTGGGGTCCCTAAGAGACTCCTCAGGAGTGGGGATTGAGTCTTAGAGGAGAAGGCGAAGGACCTGAGGACGAGGACACGCCCACTCCGTGCCCAGAGGGACGGTGGCGGATGATTGATTGCCCCCATGCGAAGACAAGAGGTCGAGCGATTTCTGCGTTCCATGTTAGATTCCTCAGCTGGCGAACCGCGTGCCTGCACAAGCGCTAGCTCAGAATCAGGCCACTGCGCAGTGCTCGGTTACTGCCTGCCCTTGCAAGACTGTGCTCCCGCCAGACAGAGTTGGCAGCTCGTGACGCATGGGCTCCCTCGGACCGGCTCCGACCAGCGGATCCGGTGGCGCGAGCAAAAGAGGTACAGTCGGGCCGCTGAAGAAGGAACTCTTTTCGTTTGGGAAGGGCTCAGTGTTCCTTAGTTGTTTCACAGTGCTCCTTGGGCTTTCCTGAGGTATCCCATGGAAAATCTGAGTTTGACTTATGGGAAAAAGGGACCGCGTTCCTTATTTATCGTTTCTTTGGTCAGCGCCCCGACTGTAGCGGCCCCCGGCCCGAGCTGCTGAGCGGGGGCGGCACCTGCTTCGCCGCCCCGTGCGGGGCTCCAGGGGCAGGGGGCGGCGGAGGAGGACCACGCGATGGGGCCACCGGCCATGCGAGCAACACCTTTGGGAGCCAGTCGTCACGCCGGTCGGCCCGGTCGGCGTCGGTGGGCTCGTCTTGGCTCCCTCGTCACCCCCTTGGACCTCGTCGTCGTCGTCGTCGCCGCCGCCACCGCCGTCGCCACCGCCACCGCCATGATCGTCGTCGTCGTCGTCGCCGCCGCCACCGCCGTCGTCGTCGTCGTCGTCGCCGTCGTCGTCGTCGTCGTCGTCGTCGTCGTCGTCGTCGTCGTCGTCGTGGGCTCTCCGGTTTGCGCGATAATGCTCAGGGGTTGCCTGGCCGAACCTTGGCGAGCTGACCATTTTTCTCGATACCCCCCTTCAGGGCTCATTTCGACTCCTGCGATCCGATTCGATTCGAGGTCGATGGCTTTCGATTCCGATTCGGATTCCGGTATCGCCATAGAGGCCTACCAGCCTGCCGATGTCCGCCAATGCGATTCTATTCGATCGCCGATCCATTGGGCGCTTCGATTCTGGGCTCTCCAGCCTTCTCCGCTCCAAGGCTTGAGGCGCGCCTCGAGGGTGATGGGGCTGGAGGTGTGTATGGGAAATGGGGGTGAGGGAAGAGCGGGCGCCTCGGGTCGCCTCTGGAGGGGACAGCGCCTCCCAGATCCTCGATGCTCGAGCTTCGAGGAGGAGGAGGAGGTCGAGGAGGAGGAGGAGGAGGAGGAGGAGGTCGAGGAGGAGGAGGAGGTCGAGGAGGACGAGGAGGAGGAGGGATGTGGGAGGGGCCACATGCGGTATGCCCGAAAGGGATTCCCAGCTTTTCCGCACCTCCTTCGCGTCTCCTTTTCCCACTGAGTCTGCCAAGGTGATACGGGTTCGAGCTGTTGTTCTCGCAGTTCGACGTTGTAGGTAGTTGTTCTCGCCGTCGTGCGAAGGTAGTTGTTCTCGCCGTTCGACGTCTCAGACCTCTACGAGCCCCGCCATTCAGAGTTTGGCCAACACACAAAACAAGAAGAGGAGGAGGAAGAGGAGGAGGAGGTGGATGCGGAGGAGCAGGAGTAGGAAGAGGAGGAGGAGGAGGAGTAGGAGGAGTAGGAGGGGGAGGGAGGAGAGAGGAGTACGAGGAGGAGAGTAGGTGAGAAAAGGCGGCCGCCCCGTCCGTCTATTGTTCTCGGGGTTGGATGGGCTGGCGCGCCCAAAAAAATTGCAGGCCAAATGCTCACGAATGGCACCGTCCGCAGTTCCTGAGGGGCAGCGGCCAGATCAGACCAGCCCGCATTGCTGCTCCCGCTACGTGCGGGGGCTTTCCCGGCAGTTGCGCGGCCTGCAACTTTGGTTCGTCTCATCGTTTTCCCTCCGTCCATCTCGTCCCGCTCTCCGCCATACCCAGACCTCCTCGCGTTGTGAAGAAATCACGACGGGAGGTTTTCGCCATTTTCGGCTTGGGGGGCCCTCACCGGGCCCCAGGACCGTCAAAGAACGACTCAGGATGAAGAATTGGTCCCGGGGAAGGGGTCCAGACCTGTGGGGGTCGACGTTGAGACAAAAATCACGACGTCGGGCATTTGGGATATGAGGTGGGCGTGGTGGGCGCTGGTAGCACGCGCAGCTGGACGGACACTCCGCCCGAACGGTTGCGACCTCTCCGTCTATCTCCCGCCTCCCTGCCACTGCCCTCGCTGCCGCGTCTCTTCCAGATGCCATCTGGCTAAGTTTGCCGGCCCGCTCCCTCTGGAGTTGCGCTCGCGGGGGCTTCCTGAGTGCTTGGGCATGGCAGTTCCCCCCGGCTCCCTCTGGCCCTCCTCCCCCTCCTCCTTGGCTTTTCTGCCCTTCTTTTCGCATTTCGCGAGTGTTCGTGGTCACTCACGATGCTCGTCCATGCTGCGCAAAGGCTGGATTTGTCACCCGCATCGGTTCAGATAGTGCATGGACGATTTTTGCACCATTCCGCCTGCTCTGCCACTTCGTCGTCGTCGTCGTCGTCCGTCTCCTCCTCCTCCGCCTCCTCCTCATCCTCTTCCTCCCTTTTCCTCTGCACGGAAGCTTAGTCGTCACCAGTGGCTTTTGGTGTCATGTGTCGGTGTCCTATGCCTCTCTCTCTCTCTCTCTTTCTCAGGCCAAGGTTCTCTGCATGAGTTGGCCTTTTGCGGGTCGGCTCGTGTGGCGTTCTGGGTTTGCTTGGCGACTCTCTGGTCCATGCTGCCGTCATACGTAGCCGACGTGTCGAACTCTGGTGGTCGCGCCCCCTCCTCAACGGAAATGTGATGAAAAAAGGGCAGGTGAAGGGGGAATGGGAATGAGTGTCAGGGGTGAGCACGGAGGGGGGGGGGGAGGGGGAGGAGGGGGAGGGGGAGGAGGAGAGGGAATGAGGAGGGGAGCGGGAGGAGGGGGAGGGGGAGGAGCAGGCAACGGGGGAGGATTGAGTTGGACACCTCGATTGTCAGGCTGAAGCAGGCCAGCGACAGGAGCGGGAGTGGACTCCCTACCGCCGCCCATCCACGCCCCATTTTGCATCACTCTCACACGGCTCTGCTGGCAGTGTTCTCCAGCCCTGTCTCGAGTACTTGCCGTCACTCACCAGCGCTGCGTTCCAGCAGAGGTCTGAGTCCGGACCCACAGGGGTGGTCTTGGCCGCCAACGTCAGAATCTCTTCTACCGTCGTCGCGAAGCAGCTGAGGCAGCGCAACACGTGCAAGCGCCCTTGATGACGGGGAAACCGGCAGAACACGCTCCCGCCAAACGTCTGATGAACGGTGGGCTCGAGGAGGACGAGGGAGAGGAGGAGGAGGGAGAGGAGGAGGAGGAGGAGGAGGAGGAGGAGGAGGAGGAGGAGGAGGAGGAGGAGGAGGAGGAGGATGAGGGGAGGAGGAGGATGAGGCGGAGGAGAGAGGGGAGGAGGAGGAGGAGGGAGGAGGAGGAGGAGGAGGAGGAGGAGGAGGAGAGGCCGCGCCCCGGCTTGTACGTGAGCGCCCGCCCGTCCGTCTGCACCGCCGCCAACCACCAGTCGGGCTCAGCCCGCCCCTCCCCCCTCGGGGGCGCGCGGCGCCCGCCCGCGCGCGCGAAGGGGCCCGGCCGCGCGCGAGGCCCGCGCGGTTGTCGTCGGGGTCGTGGTTGTGGTCGTGGTCGTCGTCGTCGTCGTCGTCGTCGTCGTCGTCGTCGTCGTCGTCGTCGTCGTCGTCGTCGTGGTCGTCGTGGTCGTCGTCGTCGTCGTCGTCGTCGCCGCCGCCGCCGCCGCCGCCGCCGCCGCCCCCCGTCCTCTCAGCCACCCCGCCACCACCGCCCGCCGCCGCAGTCCCCTCGCCGCCCGCCGGCGCAGCCTCCTTCGACGTCGCCGTCTTGGCCGCCACCGCCCGCGTTTCTCCCCACTCCCTCCTCACCTCTCCCTCCCTCCTCCCCCTTCATCCTTCGCATTCCCCCCCCACCTCCTCCCTCCCTCCCAACCTCTCCCGCTGTGCATCCTCCTTCCTTCCCTCGCCCCTCCCTCCCCACCTCCCCCTCCCTTCTCCCCCTCCTTCCCTCCTGGTCCTCCTCCTCCTCCGCCTCCTCCTTCGCCCTCCCCTCATTCCCCCTCATCCATCTCCCCCTCCCTCCCTCCTCACCTCTCCCTCCCACCCCTCCCTCCTCCCTCCCCATCCCTCCTCCCCTCCTCCCTCGTGCTCGGTCCTTCTGGCCCGTTGAGCTCTCAGGAACAGGTCGAGATCGAGGGACTAGTGGATTCGTGTGAAGCAGCGGCGGCGAGCTCGGGCTCGACTGCTGCTGAATACTACTGTCCAGGACTGCCCACGCAAGCATCTGTCCTTGCGGCCTTGGGGATTCTGGAGTCGGAGCTGCCGAGGGTGAAGGAACTCGGGCAGCGTCGGGCCGCGGAAGGATCAGACAACGGATCTGAGTCCTCCGACGGCGAGCTCTTCTGATTTTGAACCCGCCTTCATGGCCGTCCACCACCCACCCGCCCCTCTCCTCCTCCCTCCCCCCTCCCTCCCTCCCCTCCCTCCCTCCCCTCCGCCTCCTCCTCCCCTCCTCCCCCCCTTCCTCGCCTCCCCCTCCCTCCTCCCCTCCTCCCTTCCGCCGTGGCGTCGGCTGGCCCGCTCCCGCTCGCTCGGAGAGCGCCCCCCGCCCCCCCTCCACGCAGGCGGCCCGCGCCTGGCGATGTGAGCGCCCCCCGCCCCTGAGGACCCCTTCCGAGCCCCCCTGCCGGCAGGGCGCCGACGCGGCCGGTCCCCGGGGGCGCGTCGGGAGCGCCGGGCGGCGGGGCCCTGCCGTTTTTCGCTGTTCTGCCAGAGTTCGGCCGGTTCTTGGTTCGACAAGGTGGCAGGGAGGGAGGGGAGGAGGGAGGGGAGGAGGGAGGGGAGGAGGGAGGAGAGGAGGAGGGGAGGAGGGGAGGGGAGGAGGGGAGGGGAGGAGGAGGGGAGGAGGGGAAGGGGGAGGGGAGGGGAGGAGGGGAGGGGAGGAGGTGCAGGAGAGCAGGTCGAGGAACACGAGCAAGACCTCAACGCTGTTTTGCCAGAGTTCGGCCGGTTCTCGGTTCGACAAAGTGGCAGGGAGGTGCAGGAGCAGGTCGAGAACAGAGCAAGACCTCAGCGCTGTTTTGCCAGAGTTCGGCCGGTTCTTGGTTCGACAAGGTGGCAGGGAGGGAGGGGAGGAGGGAGGAGGGAGGGGAGGAGGAGGGGAGGAGGGAGGGGGAGGAAGGGAGGGTGAGGAGGGGAGGGGAGGGGAGGGGAGGAGGGGAGGGGAGGAGGGGAGGGGAGGAGGTGCAGGAGAGCAGGTCGAGGAACACGAGCAAGACCTCAACGCTGTTTTGCCAGAGTTCGGCCGGTTCTCGGTTCGACAAAGTGGCAGGGAAGTGCAGGAGAGCAGGTCGAGGAACACGAGCAAGACCTCAGCGCTGTTTTGCCAGAGTTCGGCCGGTTCTTGGTTCGACAAGGTGGCAGGGAGGTGCATGAGAACAGGTCGAGGAACACGAGCAAGAGCTCAACGCTGTTTTGCCAGAGTTCGGCCGGTTCTTGGTTCGACAAGGTGGCAGGGAGGTGCAGGAGAGCAGGTCGAGGA